TTGATCAAACTTTTTATTGGGTCACTTTAGGTATTCAAAAATGGGTTACACAATGAGCTCGAAAAGTAATAATCCAAACCCAATTACAAAAATAAAATCTCAATTAAAATAACAAAATATTTTGAACAAAATTAGGTATTTACAACCTAAAATAAAAGACCCTCACAATATTACCCAATTTAGACCTATTATCCTTTGTAATGTAGTGTATAAAATTATTGGTAAAGTGCTTGCAAATAGGCTAAAATGTGTATTGCCACATGGCATTAGCGAGACTCGGAGTGCTTTTATCCTTGGCGTCTCATAACTGATAATGTTCTGGTTGCCTATAAGTTTCTGCATTCTTTAAAAAATAAGAGAGAAGGACAAAATGGTTATTTTACTTTGAAGCTTGATATGAGTAAAGCTTATGATAGGGTAGATGGATCTTTTTAAAAGAAATGATGGACGGAATTGGATTAAGGGCTAGATGGGTATAACTTATAATGCAATGTGTTACAACTGTTTCATATTCTCTTATTGTAAATGGATGTATCACTGACAAGTGTTGGCCAAGAAGAGGGCTCGAACCGGGAGACCTGTTATCCCCGTACTTATTTCTATTGTGCAGTGAAGGCTTGTCATCTTTGTTAGCTAAAGCTAGGAGAAAGGGCCCTGTGCAAGGAGTTCAAGCTAGTCGAAACAGTCCCAGAGTCACTCACCTATTCTTTGCGGACGATAGCTTAGTGTTTGTTAAGGCAACATCAAGCGAAAGCAAGAAGGTGAAGAGCATGCTACAGAAATATAAGGCTCTGGATAATAAATCAATTTTGATAAGTCAGCATTATTCTTTAGCAAAAATACGGGAAAATAATAAAAGGAGAGATTTAAAGAAATGTTTGGAGTGCAGCTACAACAAATCTAGTGAAGTACCTTGGTCTACCATCAATAGTGGGGAGAAATAAATCAAAAGCTTTTAGAGAAATCAAAGAAAGGATCAAAGCAAAGTTGGAGGTGTGGAGTAACAGGTGTCTATCACAAGAAGGGAAAGAAGTCTTCATTAAGTCAATTACACAAGTTGTGCCAGCCTATGCAATGAACCGTTTTATGTTGTTGAAAAGCTTGTGCAAGGAAATAAATAGTATAATCGGTAGATACTGGTGGGGCAGAGACAAAGCCAAATGGAATTCATTGGTTGAAATGGAACGAGTTGTATTTTCCAAAATTAAAGGGTGGAATGGGCTTTAGAGAAATGGAGGCCTTTAACAAGGCTTTGTTGGGAAAACCAGGATGGAGACTTGTCTCATCAAACGATACATTAGTAGTCCGAATTTTGAAAGCCAGGTATTACCCGAACACGTCATCCATGGAGGCAAGATTAGGGCACAATCCATCACTCAAATGGAGAAGCATATGGGGTGCCAGGGATGTACTAGCAAGAGGACTGAGGTGGAGGGTTGAAAATGAGCAAACAGTTCGTATATGGAAGGATTGTTGGCTTCCAATAGCTTGGCCTTTCAAAGTGAACACACCACGAGGAGACTTTTGTGAATACAGTCTAGTTGCACACCTAATGGACCAATATGGAAGGCACTGGAATAGAGAGCTAATAAGTAGGATGTTCACAACGCAAGAGGCGATACAATATGTGCAGTACTGATAGTTATCTAAATAGACCTGACCGTCTAGTGTGGCATCATGACAATAAGGGCATATATAAGGTTAAGAGTGGGTACAAAATTCTATTGGAAGATGGGCAACATGAAGATAATATGAGCGGCCAAACATATGAGAATTTGAAGACAGCGTGGAGGAAACCATAGGGAGCAAGAGTCCATCCAAAAGTGAAAATGCTAGTATGGCATGTTTGTTGAGAGATAATACCACCCATGCAGAACCTCAACTGAAAGAAAGTAGAAGTATCCACAACATGCCCGAGGTGCAAAGAAATGAAAGAAATAGTGCTGCATGCAATACTATACTGCACGCACGCTTTAGGAGTATGGAGGCAGCTCAATCTATACCAAGTAATATGGAGTAACCTAACTGATGTTGCAACATGGATCAAACAGGTTTGTACTCATCTGATTGATGGGTAGTTGGAACTCTTCATGACAGCCTTGTGGGGGATATGGGGGAAGCGTAATAAGGAGAAGCATGGAGAGCAAAGGAGAACTTCACAATCCACTACATTATATATCCAGCAATACAATGCAGAGTTGAGCATGGCGTAGGCAAGAAGGGAGGGCCAAACAGCTTCATCAAGGCAATGGATGTTAGAAAAAATAAATAAGAGAAGAGAAATAATAGAAAAAATTTTTGGCTTTGAGGCATGAAGAACACTTTCTAAAAGGCAATTATGCCTTAAAATATAATAAAGCCTCAAACTCTCCAATCAAAAATAGTAAAAATGATTATACTGAAAGATTTATTTATAATGAATGAACAGACATAAACTTTTATTCAGATGATTGTGACTTTGTATAATCATGACCTTTATGAATAACAATCTATTTATATTCAAATAGTTATATACATTTGTCATATGATAATTATTTCTGTTCAAACATTATTATTTAAAATATGAATAAAATTAATGCAAAAATTAATTTTATTCATAAATAATTAAATCTTTCTATCCAATGTAGGATGCACCACATTCTAAACTGCTAACAATTCTCCACTAGTTCGGAATGTTGGTGCTTAATTTTTACCTTTCACATAAATAAATATTATGAATATAAGAAGATATCTTTCGATTTAAACTTTCAATTAGCGTATATCTTAGAATTTTAATGAAATTGATGGTGTCCGTAGATTAAACCTCAACTCCTAATGTTAGAATTGAATATATAACACACATAATACTTATTTATTCTTCTGAAGAGGTTTACAACCGCTTTTAGCACTATTATGACCATGTGTTTATCTATTTCATAAATATTTACAAGAGAGACTCTAATTCTTCTTGTTAAAGCGACACCACTTTTATATTTATATAGGTAGAGTTTCTATTATGTCTCCATTGCTTTAGACATTTAAAACTCTATTAAGAGTATAAATATTTATCTTTCCCATGCAATGGATCACACTAGCTTTTAAAATTTGAATGGATTTTACTAGTGTTTAACAAATACAAAATAATAATTTATTTTTATCCATTAAACTTTGTAATTATAGGTTACTAATTCAAAGTTGGGTTTCCACTATTGGTGTATAATAGTAAGGGTTTAAATCTATTTTACATGTAGTACTACTAACCAAATATTCTGGAATTCAATTTTCTTTTATGGTAATTACCCTCATTGAATCTCTAATATAATCACTTCAGGCTAATATGTCTAAACTTTTTCATTTTACATATCATTTATATGCTCCAGACATTATTACCTCATTCTTATCATTTTAAAAAATAGTTGGTTTTGGTTGTAGATCAATTTATGTCTTTCTCTTTTATGTTTTCAGGCTATTTCTCATCTCAGTTTTTATAAGTATTAATTTTTCAAATAAAATAATACAATTCATTAAACCCAATTGTGGAGTCAATTTCAGTATATGCATAAACTTTGCAATGTAATCAATTTTTTTTTGCATAATTTCTAGTAAAAAGATTGATTGAATAAGATAAATATATTAATAATTTATTTCATTAGTATGCAAAAAATAAAATACATATCTCTAATCAAGATCTTAATGAAAATTATCATATTGGTCATAGAAACATTAATCTTTTGACACCTTGAACCTTCTCTAATATTGATCTCCAAATCATGCCAATTTCTTTTCCTTGTATCTTACTCATACGAAATATAAATTTATCATAATTACCTTTAAATTGTTGAAAAAAATAAATAAGAGAAGAGAAATAATAGAAAAGAATTTTCATTTTGAGGCGTGAAGAACACTTTCTTGAAAGCAATTATGCCCTTAGAATACAATAAAACCTCAAACTATCCAATCAGAAGTAGTGAAAATGATTATACTAAAAAATTTATTTATAATGAATGAATAAACATAAACTTTTATTTAGATGGTTATGACTTTTTGTATAATCATGACTTTTATGAATAACAATCTTATATTCAAATAGTTATGACTATTTTTCATATAATAATTATTTCTGTTCAAACAAAATTATCTAAAATGTAAATAAAATTAATACAAAAATTAATTTTATTCATCAATAATTAAAATTTTCTATATAATGTGGGATATACCACATTCTAAACTACCAACAATAGACACGGCCAAGAGGGAAGGGTGAAGATAAACTTCGATGAAGCTTTTAGCCACCAAGAACGAAAGGGAGGTGCAGGAATTATTATCAGGGATCAGTAGGGTGATGTCCTTGGAGAAACAGCAATCAAAATAAATGATGTTAGCGACTCCTTTCAGGCTGAAGCAAGAGCAGCGGTGCTCTCTTTAAAATTTGCATAGGAAATGAGTCTCGCAAATGTTATGCTAGAGGGAGACTGTCTAACAGTGGTAAGGAAGTTGAAGACAGGTGAACTTATTGCCCATAGGTGTCACTATAGAGGAAGCCAGATACAAAATGCCCAGTTTTCATGACTGCCAAGCTTTGCATGTACTGCGATCTACAAATACGGTAGCACACCAGCCTGCTTGCTATAGTTTAATAATAGATAATGACAAGTACTGGGTAGAAGACTACCCTTATGTAATAGTTGAGGATTTGCACGGCAACTCTAACCAGTTAGAGTAATGAATGAATTCATACTTTTTCAAAAAAAGAATGCAGCCTTCTTTACAAAAAAAAAAAAAAAAAAACTTTTATTATCGAAAGCCAGTTGCAAACTCAAATTGCTAATAATTAGAAATAGAAGTATTGTAAGTATTGTAGTATTGGGCCAAAGAAATGAAATACAAGCATGGGACTAAATTGTTATTTTATCAAATTATGCACTGAGAAATAGGTAATTAATCCTATATGATTTTGCGTACTAAAAATTCCATGACTTTGAATATTGTCTAAATAAAATTTTCCTTTTGCTAATTCTTTTATCCCAATTATGTGAACATTGAAACCAAGCGCCAAAGATGAAAAATGAATATCTATAAATCATAATGCATAATAAAACACTGTACGTAATAATTTACAATAATAAACGATTAAAAATGAATATCTATAAATCATAATGCATAATAAAACACAGTAAGTAATAATTTACAAAAATAAGGACCCAAATCCAACGGCCAAGAGTACGCCAAGGCTCCACCTTGAACCCAAATAACGGGCTTCACCATCGTTAGTTTCCCTCTCCTGAGTATTCGAAGTAGTCGTCGAACCATTATAGTTGGGATTACTACCGTACAACAATTGAATCCCTTCGATATCATCAGTCGCCAACTCCACTTTCTTTGTTCTCGCAGAGATTGTCGGGTACATAATCGCATCTTCCACCGACGAATGCCCCAGCCCCAACAAATGCCCGATCTCGTGAACAGCCACGGACTCCAAATCCACAGAAGACGGCAGATCTGACCTCGTGACATCACCCGAAACGACCCAGTTCTCGTCCTGGTCCAAATGGAACCTCCCGTTTGTAGGAGAAAACGCGTGAGCTAACGTTCCTAAAACTCCGTCGAATGGCTCTCCGTCTCCATGGTCTCCGCTGTAAAAAGCGATTTTGATGTCCGCAGAGGAGAATGAATCCGTTTGCGTAAAGGTCAACGGCGTAACAGCCGACCATTTCTCAAATGCCCTTGTGAACACCGCCTTTACCTCGTCTGTTAATCCATTTGCAGGTAAGAAACCGTACGTTAAGTCCCGCCTGTTGGCAGGCCAAATTGGCGTTCCCGGGAAGAAAGTGTAATGAGCCGTGGTATGGAAGTGTCCAGTGGTGTGAAAAGACGACGATTTACCGGAGTTCATGGAATTCGTCCCATTGACTATATCGGCGTTACCGCATCTCGGCCGTACGATCTGTTGAAGAGTTTTATCGTCCAGTTGACCGGTAACGTTAAGGTTGAAATTCTGTTGGTATGTTTTCAAGGCCTTTTCTAGCTCATCATCGAACTTGTCGCTGAAATTAGACGGAGAGTTGGGGATGTAACCGAAATTGCTAAAGTACTGTTTGAGCTTGGACAAACCGTCTCGTACTTCGCCTGATTGGCAGCCGGCGAATTTCGTGAAGGCATCCCATGGGGCGATTGAGGTGGTATTAGGGAGATGCCATGGCGGAATAGCTGTTATATTTGGAAAGAATCTAGCTGAAACTGAAGCAAATGAGAGCAAAACCAAAATCGTAATCACAACAGCTTGATGCTTCATCTTTTTCTATTTTGTACTTTCGTTATTTGTGGTCGAAAAAAGAATGGAAATGAAAGAAAGCTAAATAGCAGATTCAGTATAGATAAAGAGACAAAAAAAAAAAGTCAAAACTTTTTTTCTTGTCTTTGCAAGTTGAAGCCGGCTGCTTGATTTGTTGGGGGGGGGGGGGGGTTTGTTTTTTTTTTTTTTTTTTTTGTCTAGATTGTACTTATGTATTCTTCGGCATTACCAGATTTTAGCTTTGATATTTCTGCCAAAGGCGAAGAAAATAAATTTATAATGGGTTTGAACGGTTCAGTTTCAGGGTATGGAAAATTATAAATTGCGTTTTATAGGAATGTTCTAAATGCCGATGCTTAGTGTTTGTCGTTAGAAAAAGGAATTACGTATTTTGAACTTGCAACGTCGTTCATGACGGATGGGGCGGCAAAGAGTCAATTTTGGGGGTTGGTTGGACGAAGAGGTTCACTGGGTTTTGCGGGAAAAAGTCGTGGATGCTTCCTCTAGTTAACACGTGGGATAATTCCATATGCTGTTGTTAGGCAATTTGTCGACCCTCCCCCTCAACTTTGACGCGGCAATGAACGAAAGGAGGAAGTCATGAAAGGCATAAATATAATAATCGGTAGCTTAATGCTTTAAAAATGTTACGTCAAGTCGTCAACTATTCATTTTTATTTTTTTTAAATTGTAGTTCAAAATTAAAAGATAATATTTTATACATATAAAATATATATACATACATGTAATTATTTTGTAATGAATTTTTAAAAAATAACAAATAAAATTTTTTTATTAATAAAAAATTAATGTAAAAAAATCAATTATATATATATCATTGTTCTCAAATAAAATATTTCAAGTTGGATAGTTATATATAAATTAAAATGGCATGGTATAGTTTTATCATTTAGCCAAAATAAACATGGAATGATTTAATAATTTTTTTTCTTACACGTCTTTTTAAGTTGATGTTTCTGATTAATAACATAATAAATTTGTCTGTTTGGTGGGTGTTATATTTTTGTACGGGTGAATGTGGTGAGAAAACCATTACCATATCCGGTTTTTTTTTTTTTTTTAAATGTTTCAAAATTACATATATATTTATTTATTTGTGAACACTAAAGCCTCTTATTTTTTATATTTCAATTTCTTTTTCCTTTTTTACTTTTCAACATTAAACAATCATAGCACATTAATATTATAAAAAAATTTAAAATATTAATATAAAAAGCACTAAAATCATTTTTAAAATTCCATCAAAGAAAAAAAAATACAGAAAGAGATGAGAAAATAGTATATTTGATTTTGTCAAGTCTTTAATTAATTAATGAGTCGCAACATAAAAAAAATGTTCATTGTTAATTACCCTAACGACTCACGTACCAAGAGAAAATATTTTCTTATGAAATCTAAAGTACTAAAACTTTGGAAAGACACTAACATTACTAAATAGTATAATTTTTTGATACGTGTCGATATTTTATTAGATGTTTATATTGCATCAGTAAAATTATTTAATAGCATTAGTCTCAAATACTAACTTGATAATGGATTTAAATGTTCAAGTACTAATGTGACAAAAAAATTCTTTAAATATCAATATGACAATTATAAAATTTTGGAAGTCAAATATGTATTAAACTCAAAATTTTAAGGATAACAAAAGTTTCAAATTAATGGTAGAATTACTAAGTATTTAGTCTTTCAATGAATTATAAGAATTTTTTATGTTTTTGCAATTTAAAATTGAAATAAAAGAATATAAATAAATCAATCATAATTTTATTACAATAAGAAAAATAAATATAATTTTAAAGGGACGAAATTGAAACTTTGAAATTAAAATTATGATTTTTTTTCTAATTTTTTAAAGCAGTTCGAATATGATTTAAAAAAAAAAAAGAATTTGTAAGATAACGTGAGATAAAAATCACAAAAAAAAATTTAAAAAGAAAATTATATAAATAGGAGAAATTGAAGTAAACTAGAAAGAAATGGAAAAACATATATTTGATATTTTTTGGGGGATTGGAGACTTATTTAAGAAAGTTAGAAAATTAATTGGTAAAAAAATTTTGATTTTAAAAATTTTTAAACAATGATTATTGAATATGATAATATATAAATAATAATATAATTTTAACTCCTACGTAATTGTAATAATGCATAAAATTAAATTATAAAATTATAAAAAAATAAAATTAATAATTGTAATTTAAATGGACCAATTTAAATTTGTTCAACAATAAAATATATACTACCTAGAGATTTTTAGAAACTAGGGTTGGGGGGAGGCACGATCTGGCTCTATATAGAACCTACCATGCTATGCATTTGATCAACTTTTTGTTGTCCAATGAAAAATTTATTAAACCACAGTGGAGATATACGACTGCTAGAATATAGCTGAGACCACTCTATATGCATTTTTGGTTTAATTTTGAAGAAATTGTTAGAGAGGAAGGTTAGGGTGAGGCAAAAACTAAAAAATAAAAAAATAAGCTAAAAATCGATTTTTATATATATTATATATATTATTATATAATATTATGTATTTTATTATTATATATTTTTAAGAATCAAATTATTTTTAAGAATCAAATTATATATTTGAAATTTTATAAAATAAAATATTATTTTATATGTAAATCCTTTTAAATATATTAAAAATTTTATTAAAATAATATCTAATTAAAATTTAAAATGCGATGAACTAAACCAATAAAATTTAATTCGGATTAAATCAATTTAAAAAAGTAAATTCGAATTTTGGATTGATTTTTGAAAACCTATAATATTATGTATTAACCAAAATATTTTAATTGAGCCATTATTAACCCTAATAGACACTCAATTTTGGCCAAATTGACTTTAATTTTTTTTTTTTTTTTGTGTTTGATTTGAATATTTCAATGTGGGGCAAATTTAAACTTTTTAATTAAATTTACCAAAGTGGGTTCTGTCAAACTTTGTTTCGAATGAATTATTTTTGGTCATTTTGCTTGGATCGAAGCCCACTCTATTTCAATGTTAGGCCAATCTTATATGGGCTTGAAGGAAATTTTGAAGTTTAAAATTTGCTTTTAAGGCACAAATTATTAATTAAAAAATTACACAGAAAAAAGGATTTTCATTGCCAGGCTTTTCATCCATTTTCTCTTTAAACTAATACCGACACTGCACATTTCTATCCTTGGCTATGGACTAATTTAATCTTATCTTATTTCCATTTACCTTCAACATAATTTCATCAAAACTTCTTACTTTTCCTTCCCTCGAAATGCAGCATTACAAAATCCTAAAATGTTGCAACCATTGCTACAACAAAACTCCAAAGTGACAGCAACAAACAAAGTAAAAAAAAAAAAATTCCATTTTGGTTCTATAAAAGAGGGTAAAAAATGAACAAGGAGGCTGATCACCTAACTTTACTTCCATTACACTTACAATTTCACATAGGGGATAAGTGAATTTCAAAAAAGCTAGCAAAGAAAAACTTTTCAAAGCAAAATTTTGGTAGCAAAGAAAATCCTTCTCCTTCTCTACTCAAAAACCATAATCAGGGAATCACCCACATAGCCAAATGGCCATTGTCATTTTTTCGACCTTCATCACCATAAGCCACCACCCTTATTCGACCTAATAGGCACCACCAGTCCCATTCCCACACCCATTAAGCAAAAATGCTAGACACCCATAAACTAAGACCACCCATCACACCAGAACAACCAGCACCCATCATCCTTACTACCTTTACCTAAAAAAACCATAATAAACAAAAAACACACAAAAACAAACACATCCTATGGTGGGGAGAAACAAAGATGAAAATTGAAGCAAAAAAGAAAAGACCCATTCGGCCACTACCTTCCCAACCCTAATACCTATCCAAAAATTTCCAGTCTTATTGAAAGCACAACCTAAAAACAAAATAAAATCATCATCCACATCTCTTGGAACGAGGAGCACAACGCCATAAAGCAAAAAAAAAAAAAAGATACAAAAAATGTAAAAAAGAAGAAAAAAGGAGAAGGTTTTGGTTTAAAAGTTTTCATTGGGATTTAGGGGTTTAAAATCGGTGTGGAAAGAGGTCGCAAGAAGGGGAAAAACATACTTGAAGGAGAGATTATTTGAAGCAGTGGTGGGAGATCTTTTTAAGTCATTAAGCTATGACTTTTAGCCTAGATTTGAGGAAATTTACAAGCTTTTAGAAAGATCCGATTTGGTAGGATTAAAGAGGGGTTTGAAAGGAATTTTTTGGCATTTTCTTGTAATTTTTCAATGAAAACGAACAGCAGTCAACAGTGGAGGCAGCAACGACATTAGGGACCAGATTCTATGTTTATGAAAGCTGTTAGTGGTTTTGTTCAAATGAGAGAAAGATTTTTGAGAGATTGAAAATTTTTTTCCTAAGAAGGAATGAAATAAGGCAAAAAAAATTTTTTTTTTGTTATATGATGGCACAAAATGCACCATGTAGAAAGAAAGAAAAGAAGTGGGTGGCTCGACCTGACCTATGACCCGTCATCTAAATTCTTTATCAACTTGACCCATGGCCCGCTGTAGTAGAAACCAAAAGCCTATTTTTTAGGCCATTGAACTACTTTATTTGGATCTCAACCCAAGGTCTAGCATGGTATAATTTATTTACTAAGTTTTATTTATATATTTGTTTACATTTATTTACATATTTGTTTTCTTTTAGTTTAAGTCAAAAATACAAATAAATATTTTGTAAAAATAAAAGAATACTTTTAAGTAAAAATAAATTTGAAAATCTTGTCTAGATATTGAAAATTTATTTGGAAAAATATAATTACATGCATCATTTAATTTACGCTCATGTTGACATACATGCATTTTATGCATTAATAATAAATGTGGAATAGCAAAATCCTAACCTCATAAAAATATGATAGTATTTCTAAACAAAAAAAAATGATTTTGAAAACTTTGTCTAGATGTTAGAGGAAATTCAAATCAACTTTCGAAAGATTAATTTTCTCAAATTTCACTTAAATGTTGAGGAATTAAAGAAAATTTTCCTTTTCAAAATAAAGAAAAATAAATAATAATAATAATAATAATAATAATTTCTTTTATCATTGTTTATGTTTGCTTTTTGCTTGTTTAACAGCATGTTAGATGC